TCCTACAACATGAATCCTTGCAGAATTATTGTCTTCCCCCCAAAAAAGAGAGAAAAGATGCAGTCACAGATTTTTAAATGAGACTCTTTCTGCCTCAAATTCAGCTGAAGTCCCAAGGGGCTTACACTAAAATACAATTAAGAACAATTAATTCATTGTACAATTAAGTACATTTCACATGCTAGAAGCAGGAACCAGACCACTTGTGTGGGATGTACTAAGAGACAAGAAAGGAAATCAGTTCTATCAGGGTTAGCCTGCCACCTGCCTCTGGGCTATAGAGGAAAAGGTAAAGAATTCCTTTGGAGACAATCATCAGTGTGCTGGGACTTTCTCCTCCCTTCTCCCCACTACAAACCATTTGTGAGCTGGATATGTGTTCCTTGGAATTTGGGAGACAAAGGGACTAAATTTTAATATTATGCTGGACTGGACTTTGGAAGTAGCTGTGAAAATAGCTTATTATCAGGTCATGACTGGGAGAGCATGAGAAGTGTCTGAGTTTCATCCCAGGATAGCAGAAAGAACGAGCTGAACCTGTGGATTTTTAGCAGAGGTTGTTGTGAGAAGACATTTGCTTTAATTTCACACCTTACTGTGTCTAGCATTTAAAAAATTGGCTTTGCAGGTGTAAAAGCCAATTACATAACAATGGTGGACATGCACGTGTGCAATCAATCTGGTTCTGTCTTAAAGGGGCTCCAAAGGAAAAGACTGTGTGTCTTCACAAATGAGCAGGAGGGAGGTGGGTACTGTGGTGAGGAGCCGGCACGCATCCCCCGCGGAAGGTGTGAGGACCAGCTTGTGCTGCACCTCCTCCCCCTGTCTTGGTGCTTCCCTGGAGAGCCTCCTGGGCCCTGGTCTCCTCTCTTCTGTACCATGATGTTCAGCGAAAACCCTCTTGATTCTTTACCATGCCTAACACAAGTCACCATCAAGTCTGAAATGAGCAAACAAACTTACTGACTTAGCAAATGAAATTTACCATTCACTCACCTCTTCAGTGACATGAATGAAGGCCCCATCCCCAGAGCCAACATCTGTAATGGGGGCACCGTCCATAGTATGAACTCCCTCCAGTGTGTCATTCAGGACCTCACCAGACCCTACGGAAGCAGGCATTCTGTAATTGATAACTGCACTTTGTAATCTTGGAAAAGAATGAAGTATCTTTTTACCTATTAACTTGAAAAGATGTCCATAATACAGGATTAAGAGGGGAAAAAACCAAGTTGCAGAAAAAATGACGTTGAAGGGCAGTGTCGCACCGTGCTTCGATCACAGGCTCCAGCACCACCTGTGGGGTGGGAACCCGGCTTTGCCGCTTACTAGGAATGTGACCTGTGGCGAGTCATTCAACCGGGGCCTCAGGTTCCTCATCCATAAATTGGGAACAACAATTCCTATTTTACAAGGTTGTTTGGAAGGTTACGTGCTTCAAGGATTAAATAAGTTAATACAGAAAAAGCATTGAGGACAGTCCCTAAATAGAGTTAGCAATTTAGTTAGCCATTCATAAATCTTCACTGTCAGTGTGGTTCTAAGTGTGTAGGGGGAAAAAAAACTATTTGAGTGTACAAGTTTTATGATCATTATATATATAATCATCACTATAAAACTAACACAATTATTAAGTAACATTTGTAATATATAGATACATTATGTGTGTGCAGATAAACCACACAAAGTTGGCTAACCCATGCTTACTACTGGTTTCCTCCAGAGGATAGGAAAGGAAATTACTATTTTGGAGGGTTCATACAACTCTGCATTGATTGAACTGTTACCACAAGCACATAACTCTTTTGCAATTTAAAAAACCAGTGGGGGGCACCTGGGTGGCTCAGTCGGTTAAGCGTCTGCCTACGGCTCAGGTCATGATCCCAGGGACCTGGGACATGGAGTCCCACATCGGGCTCCCTGCTCAGCAGGAAGCCTGCTTCTCCCTCTCCCTCTGCCTGCTGCTCCCCCCGCTTGTGCTCTCTCTGTCAAATAAATAAATAAGATCTTTAAAATAAATAAATAAATAAACAAGTAGAGTCTTAAAGCAAAGACAAAGAAATTATACTAATATGAATGTATGCCTGTCCCATGCACTACCTAATTTAATCTTCCCGCTAGCCCATCTGCCCTACCCACAAGGACCGTCCCACTGCCTGACAGCTGGGGGAGCTGAGCCAGGACAGGAATCCCGCGTTTTCAGGCCGCCCACTATCACCCCGTGGCATGTGTGTGCTACTCTGATGTGCACATTAGCACTTTATTATGATTAACCTCATTTTGTTGAGGAGGAACAGGGTCCCACAGAAAGTAAGTGACTTGGAGGGGCCCTGAAGCCAGGTCAGCCTGTCCCCGTGTCAGGCCATATCCACCCATGCTGTACTAACGCATGTCCCACGGTGAGAACTGTGTGGGCAGGGGAAGATGCTGAAGGACCCCTGCCGGCATCACCACTCTCTCTTGTCTTCCCGGATCTGGCCACCAGAGGGTGCTGTGCAAACAACAGGCCAGACCCCATACCTCTGAGTCCCCACTCCTTGGAGGATGTTAGGTTGGGGGGTGGAGGGAGGGGTGCCCTGGGCCAAGATGGTGTCAGGAAAGCTTGGAATAAAACTACTAGGTAGCTTTCCCTAGAAGGGGACAGGGCTCAGGGTTCAGGCCCCTTTCTCCTCACCATCTGGGCTGTCCACCCAATAAGAAGAACAGGAACACTTCAGCAAGCTCTGTTGTTTCTGTTTGGCCTTTTCTCTGCCAGTAAAGGAGTCTGGCTGATCGCAGGAAACAGACGAGCGGTGCTTGGATCTCTGTCCCAGTCTGCATTTGGCTCCCACCTCCTTTCCACTCACCCCCCCCCCCCCCCCCCCCCCAGTCTAGGAGAGGCTCTTGCCTGGCCCTGCAGCCTCTGCCCGCTCCTTGCCCCTCCTCAGAGATCCTAATTCCACCCAGGAGAACAGCCTTCACAATTCATAAACCACTCTCACATCCCTGGGAAGGGTTTAATCCTCTAAACTACCTGGGAGGCAGGGACTGTGAACCTTCCAGGGGGCAGGTAAAGACCCTGAAGCTTGGGGCGCCTGGGTGGCTCAGTCGGTTAAGGGGCTGCCTGAATTCAGCTCAGGTCATGATCCTGGGATTGAGCCCCACATCGGGCTCCCTGCTGAGCAGGGAGCCCGCTTCTCCCTCTCCCCTACCCCTGCTCATGTACTCTCTCTCTCTCTCAAATAAATAAATAATCTTAAAAAAAAAAAGAGAATCTAAAGCTTGGAAATATTAAGCAATGTGCCCCAGGCCCAAGAGCAAATAGGTGGCTGAGCAGAGCTTCTGTCCAAACTGTCTGCTCTGTCCCCAGTCTTCCCCGGCAACACCCTGACTCCGTGCTTGTATTATGACTGTATGAAATTATGATACAAATTTTTTCCTATTCAGTACTGTATACCTGCTCTCACCCACAGACTTCTCAATTTAGTTGTTAAAATAACATGCATTTACTGATGGCAGAAGTGAAAAGAAGAATGATACATATGATTACAGAAGGCTTGTTAAACACAGAAGTAAAGAAAGAAAAGCCACCCACAATCCTACCACCCAGATAACTACTTAGAACATTTTGTTGTCTATTTCTCTCTCTCTCTCACATACACACACACACACAACACACACACATACACCACATACACACACTGCTCTAATATAAATAGATATAAATAATATATTCAAAGTTAGGGTTACAGCACACATAGAGTTTTGAAATCTGCTTTCTTCGTGGAGTATAGCACGAGTCCGTTGCTGGGTCATTACATCTTCTGCGTCACCGGCATCAGGGCCATACCTATACATGAAAGACAAATTGCCCACCCAGTCTTTCCTACAGGCCGAGTGCGTTTTTGTCCTTGTTTTCTGCCCTGCATTTTGGCGCTCTGGCACGAGCAGTAACCTCGGTCTGAAGCTGCTGCCCTTCTGATAAAGGGCAGGAAGTGCAGACCCGTCTCAGCCTTGGACACATGTCACGCTGCAGCAGATCTTGGGTTTTCACCAGGTTGTCCTCTGCACACATCGGGGGACAAGGGTCAGGGGCAAGAGCCCTGGATTGGGAGCCAGGGGGCCAGCACTCCCCCTGAGCCTGCTGCCGACCCGTGGGTGCCTGCCTGTCTCTCTCTCTGGCCACCTGTTTCCCGTGCGTGCCCCACAGGAGTTCTGATGACCTGATCTTATCCTCTGAGAGTCAGGAGTTTGCAGCTGAAGCTGGAAAGGGATTCTGGAGTCGGGCCTGGGCACATGGTCCGTCCCACCACTCACTAGCTGTGTGACTGTGGGCATGTCACTTACCTTTTCAAGCATCATTTTTTCCACCCATAAAATACTGGCCAATAATACCAACCAGGAGATGGACTGTCAGGATTGGAGATGAAGTAGGTGAACACTTGGCAAACAGTAGGTATTTCATTAACGGCAACAATTACTGCAAGCTTTTCTGTTGGAACTCAAGCCCTTCCGGAGTCCAGGGTTAAAAGTGCAAGTATCAGGGGCGCCTGGGGGGCTCAGTCAGTTTAGCGTCTGCCTTTGGCTCAGGTCATGATACCAGGGTCCTGGGATCGAGCCCCACATCAGGCAGGAGGTCTGCTTCTCCCTCTGCCTCTGCCTCTCTCCCGCTTTTGTGCACACATGTTCTCTCTCTCTCTCTCTCTCAAATAAACAAATAAAATCTTAAAAAAAAAAAAAAGTTCAAGTATCCAAGTTCAAATGCAGCTCTGCCATTTACAAGCCAAAGTGCCCCAGCTAGGTAACTTAACTTCTCTGTGACATGATTTCCCCATCTTGTCTATAAAATGAGGATGGTTATAATTCCTTCCTCGAAAGACTGAGGGGAAGGTGAAATGAGAGGCTCTATGTGGCATATGTCACACAGGCTGGGCACACAGGAATCACTTCATAAAAGACCACCGTGGATGAAGGCGCTTCGGGGACTTGCCTTGCTCAGGGCTTCTGTGCGTGATGACACTCAAGTTGGTGGTTTCCGGAGTCCCCTCAGGTACAGGCTCACCAGAAAGCTCCGCATCCTCAGAAGGAGGCGATGGAGTTGGAGGTGTGTTTATGGGTTCAACTTTTGCTTCTTTAGACTGAAGGGAGGGAAAACGAGAGCTAAAAACGAGAGCTTACTTGGGAGGAAAGCAGAAAAAATGGCAGTGATTTTCACTGGAGGAAATAATACATCCACAGCACGCTGAACAAACCCAGAAAAATGCCTGGACCTGCCTATTATATCCGTAGGCTATCACTGAACCTCCCAGGACCTGAAAAAGGTGCATGCTAGGGGTAATTAAATTCTATTCTGTTTATAGTAAGACTCTGCTCATCTTGGCTGAAGCTCAAGCACAAGGACCCTGCATCTCGGACCAGCACAGAGGAGATGCCCAATAAAGATCTCTTAGATGAGGGGATGAATGAGTAAACAAATGAATGAACCAGGCTGTCCTCAGTAAAAACCATATAAATCCAATCCCAGATGTGAACTGCATGCCTATGAAATATAAGATGGGTGTGATTTCCTTCCAAGGAAACTTCAGGATCTGGGCAGCTTTTCCAAAAGCAGTCAGTGTCTTAACTAAATTTACCAAGTAGAGAAAAATGAACAGACAAAAGCCCCCAACAGTTGGAAACACAGAGCAGCTTCAAGATCTAGGCAGAAATCCCGATGGGGGGGCCACAAAGGTCATGACATCATCCCTAGAGCCAGGATCAGGTAGCAGCTCCTAAGCCCAGGGCTTGGGGATGTTCAAACAGTCTCATCCCTTTCTGAGCTCAAGGAGTTGCAGGTGGTGAATGGAAGGATCCTGCAGACCAGTGTTGGACCTGTGGTATGAATAAGAAACAACTCAGCCACTGAGATTTTTAGGGCTGATTTTTGTTATAGTAGCATGACTCGCCTAGCCTAATAACAGAAGATTATTTCCTTAATGTCAGAATCCAGCGTACAAACAATAAGTCTCTGGTCCATCAGAACAGAGGGGATTCTTATGGGCACCATAACTTGGGATTCAATGGTTCAGTTCTTACAATCAAATTTAGGTCAAATCTCTGCACTCCACTTACTGGCTACTTTTTACTGGGCAAGTCATATAACCTTCCTCCTTTGCAAAATGGGACAACAGTGACTACTCACAGGGTAGAAAGCACATGGAGGAGCTCAACACAGAGCCAGGCCCATAGTATGAACCTATGTATTATTATTATTATTCACATCACTGGAATTTTAAATTTTTGAGAAAGAACAACCCCTACTGAGGCACCCAGAGTGCTTTGCTCTGGGTGTTGGTATTAAAGGTGACTGCTTTATCTTTTTTGCTCACCTGGAATTGCAGTTTTTCCAATAACGAGTATGGAATATTTATGTATGAAAAAGAAAATATAGGTTATTGTACTATAAAATCTCCAGGGTAGAAGCAGGAATGGAAGCCTCCAAGAAGTTGGGACTTCAAGAATGAGGAGAGTTACAGAAGACAGGGATGGAGGGAGGCGCTGGGTAAGACGGGACACAGCATTGTCAGGGCCTGGTTACCTGTGCCTGGCAAGGGTTTGAGGGTTCAGGGAGGGAAGAGGGAGACAGAGCCGGGGGTGGCAGAGAGCAGGGAGGCCAGTTCTTTGGTGAGAAGTCTGGCCTTGGACCTGGGGCCTTCATGGGTAGCATGCTCAAGAGAAGTGTGTGCTTTGGGGAGTTCACCCTGGCACCAATGAGAGCGTGGATTTGAGGGTTGAGAGTTGAGGTTTAGGTCAGGAGACCAGGAGGCTGCATGACAGAGGACCAGCGAGGCTAGAACCAGGGCGGGCAGTGGGAGCAGAGAGCAGGTGCCACCACCGGAAGTTGTGAGGAACTCCACGCGGGCTTCCCTGCTCCTCCCCGACTGCGCGGTGCCCCAGCAGGGTGGTAAGAGCTCCACCCCAGGCAGTTCCTCTCCTTTCCCTTCAAGGAGCAGGGGGCACTCTGCCGTGGTTCTTGGAGGACGTCCCTGCTGGTAAGCTGACCCTTGGTGGTTCGGGCCAGGTGTCTTGCCTCCAACAGGTGGCCGTTGGTTTTCAGGGGTTAGCGTGGATGTGGATCCTGTGTGGCTGATGATGAAATGGGACTGTCGAGTCTCAAGACTTGGTATTAAAAGTGTAGAGGTTTGCTGAGCCTCTCTCTCATTCACAGAGTTATTCATTCCACATGTATTTCCTGAGGCCCCCTGGTGTGCCAGGTCCTTCGCTGGCCCCCAGGGATACAAAAATGAAGAAATAAGACAGAGTGTCTACCCTTACGCTGCTGGACTATGGGGAGACCCAGACTCAGACACAGTGTGGTTGACTGTGGCGCGTGGGACACCAGAGGTGAGAGCCGAGTGCAGGAGGGAAGCTCCAACAAGGGATCCTGAAGGAGAAGTTAGGAATGGGCCAGGTAGGGTGGGGGGTGCGGGCAGGGCCCTCCAGGCAAACAGACCACCGGGGCCAAGGCCTGGACTAAGAGATTACAAATGTTTATGGGGTCTGGGAAAACTGTGAGCATTTAGGTGTGGATGGAAGAGAGTTCCTGGCTGTGGATCAGAATCACCTGCAGAGCTTTCGTAAGTACACTTTCTTGGACCTCACTCCAGACCCCCTGAAGCTGAATGTCCAGGTAGGTATGCAGCCCAGACGTAACCGCTCCCACCCCCACTGCCCCACCACCCCCCACCAAGACACACACGCAGTTTTGATGCACAGCCAGGGCTGAGAACCATAGGGACATTAATTCTAACTAAGCATGATAGAACTTTCCAGAAATGGAAAGGTGTGTCAACAGAAGCTGACTTAGGGGGAAGCATGGGGTAGCAGGGACTCCTGCCCTAAATGGGGAAGAGGTGAGGAGGGCTGGCTTTTTAAGTCCCTGTGTGCTCAGGCAGCCCATGATTCAGTTTGCTGGTCATGGCTTGTGTCTTGCAGGGTGGCAGGTTGGAAGAGGAGAGGGCAGGGAAGTGAGATTCATTCCAAGAGAGAAGCCAGACAGAGATGGGAGGGGAATGTCTGCATGAAGAGGGAAACTCCCCCGTCCTGGAGGGGTGGCCACGAGGGGGAGCCACGGAGCCCCTCCAGGAGATGGTGCCGTGCCTGACAGAGCCCTAGACCCGAGCTGGAGACCTGGCTCTGCCACCTCCAGGCTGGGCAGCCCTGAGGACAAAGCTCTTCACTCCTCTGTGCTCCAGTGCCTCCTCTGAGGAATGAGTGGAAAAGCACCTCCCGGCAAAAAGCAAAGTGAACGCTCTGCAGGAGCCATGCCGGGAGCCTGAGAACGGGACTCTGATACCAGGAACAGACTAGTTAGCATGAGGACCCACAGCCCAGAGAGAATTCTGTTAAGGACCAAGGGCAACCACAGCGGTTTGGCATGCCCTGCAGCCCCAGTCTCCAGCCAACCAGGAAGCAGGTGGTGGGAAGGGGGGCCTCAACAGGAACAGGGCACTCTAGCACGATAAATTTACCAGTCAAGGGGCACCTGGGTGGCTCAGTTGGTTAAGCAACTGCCTTCGGCTCAGGTCATGATCCTGGAGTCCCAGGATCGAGTCCCGCATCAGGCTCCCCTCTCAGTGGGGAGTCTGCTTCTCCCTCTGACCCTCCCCCCTCATGCTCTCTCTCAAATAAATAAATAAAATCTTAAAAAAAAATTTACCAGTCAAGAGCGACACCCACCACCACGCACCGAGGGCTGCCGTGTGCCAAGTGCTGCCCGTGTTTCACGGGGGCCACGTAACTTGCACCAGCCTGGTGATGTAGGCACGCCGCATCTCAACCCAGGAGGAGGAAGTTACTGACTCTCGGTCCACAACGAGTAAGGGGCCGAGCTGAACCACACCTGGTGGGACTCTGATACACACCAGTTCTCTTAACACCACTGAGGACCGTGGGGCTGGGAAGTCTACGAAAGAAAGTGTTCGGGGGGGCCCCAGGGGCCACTGAGTCCCTCAAATGTCTTTTCTCTTCTCCAGATCCTGGAGGGATGTATTCCTTACTTCCTCCCGGCTGCAGCGTCCTCGTGCACCTGCCCCGCGTCTGCGGCACTGTGGCCTGAGGTCCTGACTTCACCACTGCCTGACCCTGGCAAAGCCGCCCTCTTCCCTGAGCACCTGCCGCCACCCCCCGTGCAAGGCTGTTGCAAGGATTAAATCAAGTCACGTCTACACAAGCACCAGGCCCACAGCGAGTATCGAGAAATGCTGGTCCTCTTCCATCTCCTCCCTTTCTCGACCCCTGTCCAGAGCTGCCCAGCTTCAATGCCTCCTCCACCAGAAAGTCCTCCCTGACCAGTCCCTGCTGCCATGATCATCTCATGCTCTCAAACCTCACTCCCCTTTCCCGTCCCTCTCACGAGGCCACCATGTGTTACTGGCGTCTCTGCCTGAGCTGGACTCAAGCCTAGCTGTGAACTGGTACACTGGGGGACAGCATCGGCTAGAAGGCCCAAGGGACCACCGCTCTGTGCCCTGCTGCAGGTGCCCTGCACACGCCACCGGGGGGGCCCAGAGCTGTGGCACACAGGGTTACAACACTGCCCAGAGCAGCCACCATCACTATCACCTCCCAGACCACCTTGGACCCTTGCCTCTTCCATCTCATCTGCCCTAGAATTGGCTGTGATCCTAGGGATGAACCTCTGCAACACCGCCCAGGCTAGAAGCACAGGGCTGTAGCCTGACCCCTGGATGAGGCATCAGGGAGCCCATGCTCTAGCCTCAGCTCTGCCCAGGCACCCAAGGGCCAATCTTGTCCCCTGTCGGGGCCTCAGTTTGTCCATCTGTATAAAGGGCAGTTTTCCATATACCTCTGAACAGAAAGAGGGTAACTTTAAGCACCACCCCCTGCACTAACAGACTATAGTTCTATTCTGCCCCACCCAAACCTCTGTCACCAGAGGTCTATAATCTATAGCCTCTGCCTTATTCCCTTGCTTTCTTTTATCAGAGATGAGTCTATAGAATGTGCTAGACCAGTCAAGGAGATTGCTGGGCTTCTGTGTTCAATGACTCAGACACTGCTGGCTGTTTTCATTAAAAATGGGCTCCAGCCGTCCCCACAGTCTGACTCAGTGCTTTCAAAACCACTTCCTTGTCTGGGCCACAGAGTACATTCCCAGGAGGGAGGAGGCCCCCATCACTGTGAGGATGGCCACCTTTCTCATGGGGCCAGAAGGGAGGTCCTGGGAAGACCGCATCTCCCAGGAGCGGGGGCCCTGCCTTCTTTCTCAGAGCCCAGAGCCCGGAGCAAATGTGACACCAGCCACCATTCAGGGCCACTTCCCTCTTGCCAGACACCAGGCCCTGACCCTGCACTGCTTCATTTGACCCTCCCAACACGTCCTTGAGACAGGACTCTGATTAGCAGGAAGAGGAGCTGAGGCTCAGAGAAGCTGAGTATGCTACCTAAGCTCACAGAGCCGAGAGGCAGGGCAGCACAACGTTTGCCTTTGGACAGTCCTCTTGCGGCCATGGCACAAAGTGGCCCAGAGAAAACGGGCACGGGGCTATGGCCAAATGCCTTTGGCCAGGACTTTCCTGACCTTCCCAGGTGAGCCCACAATTGAAGCCACAGATCTAAGAACAGAGATATCAGGCCCAGGCACGCTCCATTAACTCCGGGCCCCTAAAAGCTGGCCGAGAAGGTACGGCCCTTCTGCGTGAGAAGAAGGACTCACCGGGGCTTGAGTGTAGGTGACAGCTTCCAAGATCTCAGCGACGCCCTCTGTCTCCAGAAGCCCGCTGGCTTCTCCTGAAGCCTGTGTGAAGACAGGAGAAGAGAAGTCACAGACAGTCACTCCTTTGGAGAAATGCATGTGTGTGTGTGTGTGTGTGTGTGTGTGTGTGTATGTAAGAGAGAAAGAGATGGACAGAGCCAGAGAGAGGAACTGAGAGAGAGCACAGTGGCTATTCTTTTCACTGTTCCTTCCATATTTTATTGCTCACGCAGATGAGAAACTACAGGCAATATATAGTCTCTCTAACATACCCACTTTCATTGTGTCCAGGTCCCTTCAATCTCTGCCAGAGGTACTCCCATTTGCATGGCTATCAAGTGAATGAAGCTGGAGAACCATGACATTTGGAAAACGTCTTCCTATTGCTACCTTATCTTCATAATGAGCCGTTTAATCTAGATGAAAGTACGGTCTCCACATGTTCGCTGGAGGGAGGCTGGGGGGCCATCATTTTGTAAGTAATACCTTACTCTTGGACTCTTGGGCATCTTCTACCTTTCCAGTACTAACAACACTGCAGAAAGAAGGGTATGAATATAGGTAAGATTTCCCTCCTCCCAGCTTCATTGGAACGTCAGGCCAGGATCATGGCCTCAGGGAGGGCAAACATTCTTACAGAGCCAAACTCCACCTCTGAAGGGCTCTCCCACTAAACAGGAAGCATTTTTTTCTAAATGAATGAAATCAACTTATGCTTTGCTTTGGGGTTAATACCCCCCCCAAAGAGAAACAGAAGCTCTAGGAATATGGCACGCTGTGCTCCCCTCTGACTTTTTGCATCAAGCTAAGGCTTCTGCTTGAAACACCTTTTCTCCCTCATCCAGCTGATACTTGCTTGTCATTGGTCAGGTATCAGCTCCTCCCTTGCCTACTCTGGTTCCTCTCCTTTCACCTTCATGTCCCCCACCCAACCCAGAGAGCTTGGGTTTGAGGACCTCCCGGGTTCCAGTCACCCCTAGCTCTGTCACTGCCTCTGGGCATGTAAGTGTGTGTGAGCAGCTTGAGGACAGAGACAGTTGCCAGTGTGTCTCATTATTTCCAGCATCCCCCAGGACTGTCACCTAGCAGGGACTCAGTAGATCCGTAGATCCTGGGGGGAGGGAGGGAGGCAGAAGGGGAGGGGGGGCATGGAAGGACCCATCTTTCTTCCCTGCCTGCCACTCCATCCCCAACTTAGGAACAGATTCATTTGCCAAGCATAAAAGCTAAATTTAGGTTCGCTTTTATAGGAATTTACACTCATGCCTTAGAGTTTTAACTTTGATTTTAGAATCCTGACACCCTTTCTTGGCAGGAAGTCTGGAAATCAGGTCACGGACTGCCACAGCCACGGAAGAACCTAACACCTTAGAAGAAACGCAACCCACCCCCGACCCCCCACCCCCCCCACAAAAGAGATGGCTGAAGCTCTTAAAAATAAATAAATAAATAAAGCCAAAAAGCCCAAAATAGGACTTGAGGCAGCGCTTGACAAGTTGAGAGATTTTAGAGACTCCATGACGTTGGGAAAGAGGAATTGCCTGGGCGTCCAGCCGTCCCGGGCCAACTGGCAGCTGGGGGCAGGGGCAGGGGAGATGGGGGCTCACCGAGGATTCTTCGGCTTCACACATCTCCTCAGGGATTCTGGGGTCAGGGTGGACGGTGAGCTGCTGTATGGAGCCCTGGGGGAAGAGCACAGGGTCAGAAGCCACCACTTGCTCGTCCACAGCATGACCACAAGTGGCAAGCATGATTGTCCTTGGAACGGAGACCAGGCCACCAAGAGAGAGGCCAGGTGTGAGAAATGTGCTGCCTGGGGCCATGACAAGGGAACAAGCCACCTCTTGGCCTGCTCTCATTTACAGGGCCCTCCTTGGGCCAATGTAATATGAGCTCCACTAGCTGGAGAAGCCCCTGGGGAGTACTGTGTTCAAAGCACAGACTCACAGCAGCTTCCTAACTGGTCCCAGGTCCCCAGCCTGTAAGTGGGTACCCTAGGATGCCTGTCTCCCCTCTCCCAGAAAGTGTCCTTCCCCTGTAGCTCGAAGCTCCTTGGCTGGCAGGCCTCATGTGAAGAAGAGTGGCCAGCCAGCCTCCCTGCCTCCACTCCCGCCTCCTCTCTCCACCCCCGACAGTTCGTTCTCCTTGATGCTCCCAACGTGAGTGTGGAAAAATTGTAACTGGATTTTAACTTCTTCAGATTCACTCATCGTCTCCTGCTGTACTACAAGTAAACCCAAACTCTTCCCCCGCTACCATCCTGTATCAGTTAGCTAAGGTATCAGTTAAGTATGTGTGCTGACTAGATGCGTAACTACAGTAACTTAGGGATTTTCTTAGAATGGCTTATTCCTAAAAGCCTGTTTTGACAGGAGAGTTAATTTTCTGCTATTTTTTCAGGGCACGTTGTCCAAAAGGAGAGAGGAAACTACCTCTCCCTCTGGCCTTCTAGCTGCCTCCACCTTTGCAGAAATTACTTAAATGCACCTGGCACTCCTCTCCAAAGGTAAAAAATTGCTGAAGAAATAATAAACCTTCCTCCTCTTATAATGTCTTAAAATGCACAAAGAACTTTCACTCAGGCCATCCCACTTGACTCTACCACTCCACGGCGTAGGTTCGCTTATCATCGCCTACAGATAAGAAGACCCAGAGAAGATCAGAGAATCCATGCTCTAACATCATCAGGCTAAACTGAAAACAGGACTGAAATCTAGGTTTTGGGTCCCAGGAGTACGGCTTTTCCCGCCGCACACACATGCCTCTCTGAGGCTATAAGAACAAAATAATAAGAATAGTTGCTTGGGTTGGTTGCCCGGCGTCCAGGGGCCTCCCTGATCTGCAGGGCTTAGACTCACGGTGAATCTCTCCAGCCCCGTTGCTCCTGCATTGCCCACAAAGATTCCTGCACTGGGCTCAAAAGCCAAGGGCTGGGAGGACCGCTGGAAGAGGACGTGGCTGTGCTCCTCGCAGTCCAAGAGGAGGACCACCTCCTCGCCCTGGACGACCACCGCAAAGCGGGTCCACCTGTGGGTCATCACGGGCACCAGGAAGGCAGCAGCCTCGTGAGACACGTGGGAGCCTGGCTCCGTGTAGTAGAGGATGACCCGCTGGCGGCCATCCTCCACGCCCGAGAGCCGCAGGCCCAGGTAGATGATCTTCTGGAAGGCATCGGTGACAGCAAAGAGTACGCCGCCTCTGTCACTGCTGGGCTTCACCGTGACACTGATGGCAAAGTCCCTGAAGAAGGCAGGTGGGATGAGGGTCCTGGCCGGGCGGCCGACGTTGGCACCAGGCCCGAAGCTGTAGGCTGGGAAGCCACCATAGCCCGTGACAAAGGACACAGATGAGGGCAATGGCACACCGATGAGCTCCGTGAGGTCCAGGTGGCCCTGGGAAGCCAACTCTGCAGGGGAGGGAGACAGAGGCCATGGCTCACACATATATTCTACTGTGCTTGGAAATGGGGAAGAAAGAAAAAGTCCCAAGTGAAATGGGATTCCTCAGACACCCCACTGTAGTTCCTTAATTACTAGTTCTCAAGCTTTTTTGACAATGACCCACAACAAGAAATGCATTTATATTGCAACCCAATAGGCCCGTGCAACCCAACAGGCCTGTTTCAATAAACATGTATCTGTAACATCAAAACAATGTTTCATAAAACATTATCTGCTTTCAGGACTCACCAGGCACTCTGATATTTTCCTTTTGGGAATTCTTTTCCTCTTTTTTTTTTTTAATTTTTTAATTTTTTAAAAGATTTTATTTATTTATTTGACAGAGAGAGACACAGCGAGAGAGGGAACACAAGCAGGGGGAGTGGGAGAGGGAGAAGCAGGCTTCCTGCGGAGCAGGGAGCCCGATGTGGGGCTCGATCCCAGGACCCCGGGATCATGACCCAAGCCGAAGGCAGACGCTTAACTGACTGAGCCACCCAGGCGCCCCCTCTTTTCCTCTTTTATTTTATTAAAAGCATGCTGGAGGGGGTGCCTGGGTGGCTCAGTCAGTTAAGCGTCAGACTCTTGGTTTTGGCTCAGGTCATGATCTCAGCATCATGACACTGAGCCCTGCGTTGGGCTCCATGCTCAGTGGGGAGTCTGCTTAGGATTCTCTCCCTCTCCCTCTCCCTCTGCCTCTGTCCACTCCCCTCAAATAAATGAATAGAATCTTTAAAAGCATGCTGGCAACGACCTACTAAATTGATTTCATTATCCACTAAAAAGTCCTGACCTGCAGTTTGGAAACATTTTTAAGTATGTCCTAGAATATTTGCAGACTATCTAAGGTTCTCCCATCAACTTACAGATTGTTGTTCCTCATTTCTTTCTATAAAACTGGGTAGGTTCGTTTTGTTTGTTTTGAATGAGGTCTACTGTTGAAGTGCCTCAGGGTATGGGGAAAAACTGGGACAAGGTGAAGTGTTCCCAGACCTCAGGGCAGTTGAAATTCACATCATCATCATCATGGACATTCCCTGAGTTCTTCTGTGTGGGGCCCTGCTCTAAACTCTTCACATACATTAGCTCATCTAATCCTCACAACTCTGTACCCTTTAGCCTCATTTTACTTCAGGGAGAAGTTAAGAAATTTGCCCTGGTTCAAAGCCAGAGCATCTGACCCCAGAGCCTGAGCTCTTATCTGGCCGAAATCCTAGGGCTCCACTGCGGTGGCCTGCAAAGGCCCCCAGGCTCAGGAGCCTCAATCCGCCCAACCCTGGTACCCTGGGAGCAGGCTTCGGGCTGGCTCGCAGCGATGGGCACCCATTCCTGAGGAGATGCCCAGGATGCCAGCAGTGAGACAGGAAGGCAGGTGTTGAGGACAGTAGATAGGACCCCTGCAGGCAGGACAATGATACTCAGGGCACCTTGGCCCCCGAAGTGAAGCCAGATCCTGAGGATCAGTCCAAGGAGGAGGGCTGGAGTGAGTGAGGGTCAGAATCGAGCAGGGTCCTTCCCAAGGGACCAAGGAGCAGAGCAGACATTTGGTGACTACCTGGACGATAGCCAAAGGCCAGAGGACCCTGAGAGTCTGAGTGACCACAGGGGACCTGGGTTTGTGTCCAGAGAAGACCCAAGCCATTCAAGGGCACTGCAAGTAAAGCCCCATCTGACAAATCGAGGCTGCCTTCTAGTTTACCAACTTGTCCCTGTCTGACTGGACAACTAATTAGCCAGTGAGTCATTTCACAGCTCCAAGGCTGTGTCTCCCTCTATGTTATGGGCCCCACGAAAATGATTAAAGGAGACCATCCATGTAACCCTGGTAAATACGGTGGTAATGCAATAACCATTCACTACTCTTTCCTTTGATTACATCCACTCAACAAGCCCAAAAGGTTGATGGACAGGGGTTATCAACCGCACTGCGCTGACAAGGAGAGGGAGGCCAAGATGGGGCCTGGACACCCTGCCTCTGTATCCCCTGAGCTCCCCACATAGAATAAAAATGACCGGGTTTTTCATACGTGGTTTTACTTCATCCTCACTGCAGCCCGGGATTAACTGCCATTCTCCCATCCTACAGATCAAGAACCAAGGCTCGGGAAGATGGAGTGACTCCCTGAGGTGACACGGTAAATGGCAGATGTTTTCAAGCCATGACTGGTCTGACCTCAGGTTGGTTCACTGCCTCAGTCTCTTAAGACGGGCATCCCTCCCAGGGGTTCTGAAGGGAGCTCGACCTAGTCAGCCTGCCATGGGAATGACTCTTTAGCAGCACGAGGTGCAACTGAATTCTGGGTGGCCCAGAAACTCAAACTTTTTCCTGGAGGATGAGAGCAAGAGAGAGAGAGAGAGAGAGAGAGAGAGAGAGAGAGAGATGCCCTGACTCCAGAGCCCCTCCCCCAGCACCGCCAGAGGAGGCTGCACAACATCAGCAGCTAGCCTGTGTGTGCGTATGCATGTGTCACAAAGTTAGTACGAAATATTTAGGACCTACCAAAAAGCATAAATGATAATAGGAGACACATACTAAATGTTAAAATGGTCGATTTTATGTATTTATATTTTGGCCCATGATTTTAAAAAGGAGTAAATGAGAGGATTAAATGAAATAGTCTGAGGTGCGGCACCTGCTCAATCATGGTGGAAATCATCATCATCATCATCATCATCATCATCATCTTCAACGTTCAGGTTCTGAAAGGAATCTCAGAGGGCCCCTGATACAATCTCTACCAGAGATGTGTTCACCCCACACTGTCCAGCGTGGTAGCCATTAGCCATGCGTGGCTGTTGAGCACTTGAAATGTGGGTCACCCCAACTGAGCTGCGCTGCAAGTGTACCTACGAACTGGATTTCAAAGACTTCATTTGGACAAAGGAATGTAAGATATCTCATTAATCGTGTGTCTATGGATTACGTGAGGAAATGATAATTTGGGGAAATACTGGGTTAAACAGAATATATTATTAAAATAATTTCTGAAGAACATGATGAAGAACAGGCATGTGTCCACCCCTCTGCTGGAGAAAGTACTGATTCGGCTCTCGAACACTCTCCAGTCCCATTCCCCTGGCCATGCCGCAAAGGCAGCCTCTCTGAGGCATGCGGTGTGCATATTCCCAGGCATGTCTTTGTATGTTTGCTATATGAACATGGACGTGCCTGTGACAGGATGTGCTACCACTGTGCATGTCTCTAAACTTCGTGTCAGTGTTGGTATGCCGCGTGGACTCCTCTGACATTCTTTTTTTTCCCACTCGACATTGTATTTTGAAGGTTGACCTTTGTTGACGCGTGCGACTCTGGCTCTTTTACTTTCACAACAGTACTCTAGGGCATCAGGGAGTCATACAGAGTGGCTCACTTTTCTGTTGGTGGGAAGGGAGGTTTTCCTGACTATGCAAAACACTACCGCTGTGGACTTCTTACACACATCTCCTGGTGCTTACCTGGGGGGTGGGGGTAGTGCAATGACTGGATGCCGTGGGGCTATACACCTGCAAATTCACTGAACGCTGCTACAGTGTCGTCCGAAGCAGGACAAAGTCACCCGTGCTCACTTTTTTTTAATTGGGACATAAGTGATCTATAACATTGTATAAGTTTAAGATATACAATGTGATGATCTGATCTATTGCTATATTGCAATATGATTACCACCACAGCTTTAGCTAACACCTCCATCGACATCACATAACTGACATTTCTTTTTTGGTGGTAAGAACATTTCAGATGCTGCTGTGCCCACCTGCAGCATATTCCTACCAACCTTCAGGGGAGGCAGGGAGATGAGCCATGGGAGCCGTCTGTGGGGCTTTTCAACTATAGCGATAATGTTTACTTCTGAAACTAAGCAATATTTACAAATATTCATTGTAGTATTGTTTATAAAACATGTCATGGAAAGTATTTCACAACATTTTAAGGAAAACAATTACCCACCCTCAACAAAAGAGCAAATCTGATCATGTTGGCGCTCTGCTGAGCAGCCTATGGCCACCCAGCCCAGGGCCCTGGGTCTGCAGTCAGCATGGGGGGTGGGGGGCGGCCGCTGCCTCCTGGCTTGAGAAGCCCTTGTGGTCCGACCCAGCTGCTCTCCCTGCTCCCCAGCAAGCCCCCTGCTGGCGCAGGTCCTCCCCTCTCCATAGCGAGTGCACTCCCCTCTGTCGCCCACCCCATCTCACCCGACCCAGAGGATCAGAGCTGATTCTCCATCCAATGCTTCTCCTCTCCAGTTTGCAGCTTGCATTAAAACAGGAATTAATTTTAAGTATGAGAAACCCCAGAAGGCACACATGAAAAGGTTGATAAATCTGGTTAAATTTAACTCCACCGAAATTCTTCAAGTTCCGCATAGCAACAAAAATTCCCAAACTGGTGTCAAATAAAATCCCAAACTGGACAAAAATATTTGCTGCATACATCACAGACAACAAACTAGTTACCTTACATACAACACAGGTGAGCAATAGCCCCATGGAAAAATGGGAGAAGAACAGGGAAAGAGAACTGTAAAAAAAAAAAAAATTAAAATGGCTCTTAAACATGTGAAAAGATACTCCACCTCACTCAGGAGAGAAATACAAGTTAAGGCTGTGAGGAGATACCATTTTCCCCTCTCAGATTGGCACACATCAGAATGTCAGACAGTATGCCGTCTCATGCGTTGCTCGTGGGAGCACACGCTGGTGTAATGTTTGTGGGAGGCTCTCTGACAATAGTTACCAAAATTACAAGTATACATAGGCCCTTTGATCCAGGAATTCTACTTCTGTGGATTCTTTAACAGATAAAGTTACATATGTGAAATATAAAGCATGTACAAGAATTTTCATTGCAGCATTGTTGAAAATGTATCTAGCCGTCCATCTTTGGGAATGGTTAAATAAATAATCAGTTTTGATATACCATGAAGCCTTTAAAAAGAGTGATTCCTTAGGTAATAATAGGAAACAATCA